TTAAGGAACTCCATTTGGGCACAACGAGGGCTGTACCTGATGCCAAGAAGTCGTTCACCAGCACCAGGAACTGCTYGTCCACCACCTGCGCGTCGCTCAGCAGGAACACGGAGCCCACGTTCTTCAGCCCAGCCTTCAGGTACAGGTTTGCCAGGTCTGCCTGCAGGTGGGAAACCAGGATGGCTTAGGCCTAAATTCTGCACAGCATGGGCCAGGACTATTAGGGGGATCATTCAGAACATTCCCAGKCACYGGGAACAGAACAATTGCAATTTATCAGCAGGAAACTGGACACTGGCCACTCTCCACCCTCTCTGGGCCAATGGGGCAGTTCATGGCTGTTGTCATTGTCAGATGTCACCAAGGCAGACTTGACATCATGGCCAGGTGTGTCTAACACAGAAATSAGGAGAATGTCCTGGCCAGCACTGCAAGCCCATAGCTGAAGCACTGAGAGGTCAGCGGGGATGTGGCTGAAGACTCTGTGCAATCCCTGGCTGTGGACACTGGGACTGGCCATGTTCCCATGCCTGCTTGCCTGGAAAAGCTGTTTAATTTCAAAGGCAACAGCATCCTCCAGATGGAGGACACAATTTTTTGAAATCCAAACTGTTCATGAARTAAATCATCACAGAAGAGTTTGGGTTGGAAGATGTTCATCCAGCTGAACCTCCATCCTTTCCTTCCCGCCCCTCTGAGAGATGTACCAAGCATGTGGTAGGGGATCCTCAAGGAAAGATCTTGACAACAGTTCACAAACTCTCTTAGAAATTCAGCAAACACATGGTCACTTTGCAAAAGGATAATTTGCTACATCAGTTACTGGGAATTTGGATGAGATCAGTGATAACAGTGGGAAGGGCCAATGGCAAACAGGGGAATCTGTCACTGTCTTGTTATTCCATAGCTGTGAAAAACAATTCCTCTGTATTTCATTTTAGGAAGAGATTCCTGTCTCTGAGGGTGGGCAGGCCCTGGCACAGGGTGCCCAGAGCAGCTGTGGCTGCCCCTGGATCCCTGGCAGTGCCCAAGGCCAGGCTGGACATTGGGGCTGGGAGYRRCCTGGGACAGTGGGAGGTGTCCCTGCCATGGCAGGGSTGGCACTGGATGGATTTAAGATCCATTCCAAACCAAACCATTCTGGGATTCTGTGCTTCAAAAATCCTTTGAAAATGAACACAGAGTGAAGGGAACATCARCTTACCTCTCACCTGCACAGACTGAGAAGCAAAGAGATGCTTTGAAAACTGGTTCATYAATAACTGTAGTGAGCTCTATTCCTAGCTGGGGGCAGAGGCTGCCACAGTAAATGGGCAGGCAGGGACTAGAAAATCCCAGGAGCTGGGCTGAAAACACCCAGCAGATGGTGGGACAGGCTGTGTGACASAGGGGAAAGGACCTGCACGCAGCCACAGCTGATCAGGTTGTGCCTCTGGTGGGGAAGGAAGCCAGGGCCATCAGTCATCACATCTCCCAGGCAGAACAAAGTTGCTGTGGCTGTGATTTGCACAACACTTGTGGTACAAAGCATTCTGTCAGCAGCTAAAATACTTTAGAACCCTTACATGATATTCCAAATTGTTAATTTACGGTTCTTAAGCTCACTAGCCTGTGCAGAAATGTCAGTGCAGGCAGATGTTGTCTGCA